TGGCCCCACCCCATAACAAAAAAAACAGAATTTCTGGAGGATGAGACCCAGAAGTCAGGATTTTAAAAAGATTCCCAGGTGATTCTAATGTGGCAGCCAAGGTTGAGAACCACTGCTCTTGGTGATCTTTGACCTTTCCATCCACAGATTGCCTCACTAGCTGTGTTTAATTCACCAATTATGGGTGGATGTTGTTTGATTCAGCTGTTCCTTCTATCTGCTCTGTGAGAAGGCACAGGGACCATCCACATATTCAGGGCCACTTTGTCTCCCCCTGGACAAACTTTATAGGTGCCCATGTCCAGGAAAGCTGGAGTCTCAGTGTTCATGGGTTCACAGCTGAGGCAGCTGGTCCCTTGGGATGTATCTGAGGTCTTCCAGGTTGAAGGTAAGGCTGGGCTTCTGATCATAGCCACTCTCCCCTTCAAGATGGCATGGTCTCTGCAGCAGAGCTGGCCACTCTGGGAGAGATTTCAGCAGTAGTAGAGGCTGCCTGGCCAGGGGAGCCTGTTCCACCAGTCACCAACAGTCCTGTGGAATATAGCTGTCTCTCACTCACAAATACAGACACTCCCCACATGTCCACACACTCTCCCTTCACTCTCTCACTCACACACTATCTTGCAGTCTGCTGTCCCATTGGCTGCCATCTTGGATCCTCCCCCATTGGTCCATTGGTGAATTTTTTAATGTTATTTACATTTGACTCCTTAAGCAAACTAAGAAATTGAATCAGTAATAATTTGAATATATTAAACATAACTATTTTTTAAGAGCAGTGCATTTTTAAAAGGCACATTTAAAGAAGTATTCATGAAAGAACAATTCTTTTAAAAAGCAAACCCCCATAGAAATAGATTTTGAAGAAATTGCACAAATAAATCCAGGTAGTGTGCCATGCCAGCACAGTAAAGGGTTCAGTGAGCCTGAGGAGGGGCCCGGTAAAGGATTAAAGAAAAGACAGACAAGAGAATATAGTTGGGGCTTTGCCGATCTCCCATGCCTGGATGAGGGCACGGAAAGATCCAACCTGCAAGCCAAGGCTTTATTTTGTAGTGAGATCAAAACAAGGGTAGTGGTCAACATGTTTGCAATGTTCTTGTTAGTTTCACCTTGTTTTAGCAGCACTTGCTGGACCTCCCACAGGCCATTAGCTACCTAGGAAGGAACTAGGGAGGGCTATAAGGTTAAACTTCATTTTGCCAAGAGGGCTCAGCCCTCCAAGCTGGGACTTGTTTGTGGCCCTGCCACAGGTCAGTCCAAGGCTTAACCCTATAGCCACTCCCTACAAGGTAGAATTTGGTTACTCATTCACTAATCCTTAACTTTCATCGAGAATTGTTTAATTTAAACTCAGTTCTACCTCCAGGGAAAAACATTTCTTTCAAACTCATTCTGAATTCTTAGTTTGGAGCCAGACTAACAGGATGAAAAACTCCTCAAGTTGAGGTTTGGACACTAATCTACATTCTAGGTCAGCTGTGTGGAAATTGAGAAATTTGCAGTTAGGAGAAATCAGGAACAGGTTGTAAGTAAGAATTTAAGTGGTTTGAGCAACATTGGGAGGTGTCACAAGTGTCAGTGATCAAGAAAATATGGCAGGATAGGAACACAAATCAATATTGAAAGAAAATATGTTAAATCAAAGGATGTTGCTGAGTACTAAAGGTCAGGGGTAGGTCTGAGTTACAGAGATACTTATGATCATGGAAAGTAAAGGAATATTTACTGAGTCTCTGCTATTTGTCAAGCACAATAATAAGTGCCTTGCTCTAATTGCTTCACTTAATCCTCCTAACTCTACTGCGTAGGAATTATTTTGCAATAAGGAAAGAATCTCACATTGAACACCTTGTCCAAGAACATCTAGATTGTGAGAGTTCTAACTCTGCTTGTCTTTGAAACCTATACTGTCACAGGGTACAGGGCTTAGGCTTATGGGATTCTGAAAATGCAGTCTAGATTACAGACTACATAAACCTTACTTTACAATAAATGCTCAGAAAGCATGAGGAGATCCAGTTTGGAGTGTGTTTGTGACAGGAAACAGTAGCTTTTTGATCATTTGGGGCAGTGAAGAAGACATTTAAAGGAGAAAAGATATCTTGGAAGATAGCTACAATCCATCTGACATGACAGAGGGCCTTCCCACTGAGACTGAGATCCTGCAATCATCGAGTTCAATAACAGAGAGAGCACTGTGCTGGATGCAGAGATAAGTACTGGGAATACAGACACCTCAAGACACTTAAACAATAAAGAAGACAGACAAGAAAAGTATTACTGTTCATACTCCCCTTAGCCATTCTGACCTCTTTCCTGAGTAAGTAAAAGTCACACAGGCTCCAGTATCAGGTCCTTTGTCCTGGAGTTCCCTCTTCTTTCCAGAATCTGCACAGCTAGCTCCCTTACCACCTTTAACTCTGTGTTCAAGTTTCACCTTTTCTTTTTAAATTAAGGCATATTTGATATATAACATTATATTGGTCTCAGGTGTACAACATAATTAGTTGATATTTGTATACAGTGATCACCACAGTAAGTCTAGTTAACATGTCACCTTACACATTTTTAAGATCTACTCTCTTAGCAATTTTCAAATATGCAATACAGTATTATTATTTTTAAAAATACTTTTATTGATTTCAGAGAGGAAGGGAGAGGGAGAGAGAGATAGAAACATCAATGATGAGTGAGAATCATTTGATTGGCTGCCTCCTGCATGCCCCCACCGGGGACCCAGCCCACAACCTTAATTAAGCTTGTGCCCTGACCGGGAATGGAACCATGACCTCCTGGTGCATAGGTAGGTGCTCAACCTCTGAACCACACCAGCCAGGCTGCAATACAGTATTGTTAATGATAGTCAATATGATGTGCATTACTTTCCCAGGACGTATTTATTTCACCTTCTCAGTGAGGTAACTAGATCATATTGATAGTTGCAACTCTTGCCCTTCCCCCAACCTTCACCCTTCAGCACTCCAGCCTCCCTTACTCTGATTTACCTTTTTGTCCATAGCAGACATTACCTTCCCATATTCTAGAAATATTATTTATTAAGTTTGGTTCCCCTCATGAAATGTGAGCTTCACAATGGCAGTGATTTTGTTCTATTTACCTATCTCTTCATACCTATTCACAAGCATCCAGAAGAATGCTTGACACATAGCAAGCACTCAATACTGCTGGTTAAATTACATTGGACTAAATATGTGACATATTAAGCACAAGTGCACTGAGTATTGGTAGCAGGGAAGATTGTGGATAACTTTTGGTAGAAGAGGGGAGTCAGGGAAGGTTTAGTGGGAAAAATGTTTCAGCTGGGATTTAAATATAATGGGTGTTGTCAATGCGGAAAGTGGGCTGGAGTGGGAGGAAAAACATTCCGAGCAGAGCAAACATCATATACAAAGAAGTGGGAATGGAAATAGAATGGGCTAGGCAAGGGCCTTCCAGGAAGAGGAATGTGGTCAGAGCAGAGGAGTCTGCTGACTATTGAATATTAGAGAGGGAAGACTAGATGCCAGTATTGCAGGGAAAGGTACTTCTCAGATTCTTGTCAGATTCCTCTCTCTTTGCACCCCAGATTCATTTCTCTGCTCTGAGCGCTGGGAGGCTGATGTCCAATTTCCATCACCAGTTTCCAAGAGGAGTCTCAGGCAGGAGACCGGCAGTGTGGGGAGCGGTGAGAATAGCTATTCCTCCCTGCTGGGCTGCAGATCTGACAGTGGCTGCAACTTTTTTTGACTACAGATCCTATCAGGAGGGCCCTTCTCAGTGGTCCAGTAGGTCTCAGGGTGCTGATGGTTTTCTGCTGTAGCTAGTCCTTAGCTGCCTGGACATCCCCTCTTGGTTTCCTGAACCCTGCTTCTCCATAAAAACATTCTCAGCTGAGAATGTAATGGATTTTTGCAGGACCTGCCTCTAACAGAGAAAAGCAGAGATGGCAGAAGTCAGTTCAGGCCGGCAGCTGAGTGGCTGTGGTCAGCACGACCCATCAGCAGGCAGATGGAGTCCGAAGTGCAGATGATCTGGGAGCAGGTAGAGACCCATTATCTAGGCAGTGTCTGAACAGTGGGCATTGAGGGTGCCAGACTTCTGAACACAAGTCAACATCTTCTGAAGTAGAATTCATCTATATGTGTCCTGACCACACTTCAAACTGCTCTCAATATGTGCGTATGTTGGGGGCAGGGGTGAAAAGTAGGGAGGCAAGCCTGCTCTGAACAGAAGCTCCAGAGGATCACAGGCCCCAAGCTTAGCCAACATAATCCCAGGCTCAGGAAACCAGAAGTTTTGAACTATGGAGTGTGTGTGTGTGTGTGTGTGTGTGTGTGTGTATACTTTTCCCTCAGGTATGCATGTGGTGCTGGTGTGGTGTGTGTGGGAGGTGGCGGGGGTGTGTGTGTGTGTGTGTGTGTGTCTGTGACTCCTCTTCCTAAAGGTAGATAATAATAGCCAAGGTTTTAGTTTGTTTTTCAATACATTTTTATTGATTTCAGAGAAGAAGGGAGTGAGAGAGAGAGAGATAGAAGCATCAATGATGAGAGAGAATAATTGATCGGCTGCCTCCTGCATGGCCCCTACCGGGGGATCCAGCCCACAACCCAGGCATTTGTCCTGACCAGAGATCAAACTGTGACCTCCTGGTTCATGGGTTACACTCAGCCACACCAGCTGGGCATAATAGCCAATGTTTATGAATATCTGCTGTCAGTCACTGTTCTGAGTATTTTTCTGACATCCGCTCTCTTAACCAGGGCAACAACTCCATTTGGTAGGCACTGATGTTATGCCAACTTTCCAGGTGAGGAAACTGGCACCGAGAGGTGATGCCCCAGGTCTCACAGAGAGGAGCCTGTGAGAGGGGTTGACTGGGGCAGTCTGGCCCCAAAGCCAGCTGTCCCCTCCCTACACCACTGATGCTGCCTCTGCCAGCCCCTGGGCTTGTGGAAGGAAGCAGCTGTTCCTGTGTATTGCTAGCCATCTTCATCTGATCAGAACCTGGCTGTATGCGGGCAGCAAGAGCTGCTTCAGATTATTTGTTGACAAAATGAATGAACTTTTGCTAGGCGGCGAAAGCTGGGTCAAATCCCAGAAACAGACAGCTCCTGGGGGCGGAAACCCAACTTTCTCCCATTGCACAGCGCTGCCAGGCCATCCCTGCCCATCCCTGCCACAGTGGCCAGCCAGCCAGGCCCTCCTGCTTCGTGTCTGCACGAACAGGGAAAGGAGCGCGGGCAGCGCCCTGAACAAACCAGAAAAACAGCCTTCCCCTGCCCTTGGCCCCGCCCGCCGCCCGAGGTCTCCCTCTCCCAGCCCCGCCCTCCACCCACGGGGGAGCAGAGCGAGCCACCCGGGAGGCAGCTTTGGACTCTGCACCCTGGGGTGGGGTGTGTGCCGCCTGCTTCCCGGCGGGCTTAGTCCTCCTCTGCCGTCCATGGAAGGGGCCAGGACCCCATCGCCCGGAGACCAGCTGGAGCTCTCGGTGCTCGAGGGGCAGCCGGACGAGCAGACGCCTCTCAATGGAGCCGCTCAGGTTGTCCCTTTCTCGGCCGAGGAGCCCCGTCCAGCCCCGGTAAGGCCTCCTTGGCGCCCGCGACATCGCCCGAGCGCGCTGGGATCCGGGCTCCCCGCCAGGACCCGAGCCGGGCTCCTCTGAGACGGGTTTCCAGGCCGCTCTCCGGCGCCACCGACAATGGGTGCGGGTGGTGCGCGATGGGAAGCCCTCAGGGGGGTGGACCCCGGAATGAGCCCAAGGCCCCTCGATGCCCCCCGGTCCCCACGCAACTTCGAAGAATCCCACCTAGGAGGTGTGTGGCTCCTCTCTTCCGAGAGAGAATCCCCAGAGAAAGAGATGGTTTTCAAAAAAGTCCTGTAACTTTTAGTTGTGTTTTGTTTTGTTTTTCTCAAATAGAACTAGAGCGATAGATGGCGTCTTCTCCTTTTCTCCAGAACCTCCTTGACTCCCTCCTTACTACCTTGCTGCTTCCTCCCACGTCCTCCCCACCGCCCACCCAGCCTGGCCCACAGCCCCTACACACACACTTGCTAGCCTTCCTCAGTGTGGCCACTTGATTTCACAGCAAGAGAGATGGGGAGAGTGGGAAAAGCATCAAGAACAAGAAGGGCTAGGGGTTGGAGGTGGGGTATAAACTTGCCCTGCTTGGTGGAAGGAAAATAATTTCAAAGGTTTTGTCCTAAAGAACTAGACTGCGCCTCATTTGCTTCGGCTTTATTTCAATCTCCAAGGAAGTCCTTGGTAATGTTTTGGCTGAACTCCCCTGATTCAGCCCTCGCTGCGGGGGGAACATTATTCATGCTCATCAAACGCTTGTAAAACAACAGACACTTGGGATTCCCAGCCATGTACCTTGTGATTAACCTTAAGACTCGCTTGAGTTTTACTGGCTACGTGGAACTCCCCATGCCTATGGTTCCATCCTGGTATTTCTACTCTGCTCCTCCACTCCCACTCTGGCTGCCCAACTGTTGAGTTCAGGGATAAGCAGGACATTCAAAAGGTGAAAGCATTGTCTTTGCTTCCACACTGCTCCCTAGAAATACTGTAAAGTCTGCTTTCACAGTTGCCTATAGGTACCTGGGAGAGTATTGGGTACCTTATGTTTGAGCACCACTGGAGAAGGGAAGTTGGAGGAAGATGGTCTAATCCTGTGCCCATGGCCACAGCGGTGGGCGTGCTGCGTCAGTCCAAGGAAGTGTCAGGAATGGGAACTGGGAATACTTGCCTCATATTAGATAGATAGACCCAGGACAGCCCGAAGACTTCATGGTTTGGGACTGAGTCCAGAGATCTGAGTTCTGGCGACTGCTTCAAAGCCAAAGGATGTGTCCTGGGGCAAAGCGCTGAGGTCTGTTTTCCCAGCTCTCCCGGTATGGTAATGTAATGTGGCTAACCCGGCTTCTCCCCAGGCCTGGCTGTGCCTTGGTGAAAACAGTGAGTGGAAGAAAATGCCAAACATATGTAGGGTACGCTGTATCGGTATTTTAGCATTGTTTAGCACCTCCCAATACAGATTGCGCTTTCATGTTGTAATTCAGTAATTTTCAGCCCTTTTCATCTCATGACACACATACTAGTTACTAAGATTCTATAGCACACCAAAAAATACATATTTTGCCGATCTAACAAAAAAGTATAATTTTAATTCATTCACACCAGATGTCTATTGTGTTCACTATTGTCAAGTTTTAGTTTGACCATCTAAGGGGAAAGAGGTGAGTGCCCCTGACTAAATAATCAGATATTGCATGTTTTCAAAATTTTTGCAGCACACCAGTGTGCCTGCTGCAGCACACAGGTTGAAATCGCTGTACTACTAACTTCTCTGGACTCAGGTATATATACAGATAGCCTAGACTTCCTTGTGAATTTACTTTGTAGGTCACCAAATGGGAAACAAGTGGTGAGTGACATAATGGCATGAAGGTGAGGGGTTACATGAGCACTTGGAGGACATTCTAGAAATGCATGAATGGGGAAAAAACTTTTTATAAAGGGAAAAAAATAGAAAAAAGCCCTTATCTAACCTTTCTCTTTGGTTCTATAGAATAAGGTTGAAGTGTATTTTAAATGGAAAAATCAATTAATATAGAATTCTTTAAAGTGTTGTGTAGCACAAGCACAAGATTCAGACGTTTAAGAATTTTGTGTGTGGTCTCCTTAAACTATATGTTGAGATTTCTAATTTTTTAAAAATATATTTTTATTGATTTCAGAGAGGAAGGGAGAAAGAGAGAGAGAGAGAGAAACTCAATGATGAGCATCATTGATTGGTTGCCTCTTGCATGCCCCACACCATCGATCAAGCCCACATCCTGAGCGTGTACCCTCACTGGGGATTGAATTGTGACCTTCTGGTCTATAGATTGATGCTCAAACATTGACACACTGGCCAGGCTCCATGCTGGTTTTTTTTATTTGTTTTACACAGCTAGATATATACCAACATATAATTTAAATATGTAAATATAATATATGACTTATACTCTTATGTGTAACAACTTAAGTTACATATTACTAATTTCAGTCAGTTCATAAATTTACAGAGGTTTATTTAAGAATTAGGTAGCATATTTGGAATGATGGAATTGCAGGTAGATGGACAGAGGGGTGAGAAGTAGGGAACAGTTTTAGATAATTGGGAAGAAGCCATTCCACTTCATGGATATTTTTCTAGGTTGAGCTGAGAGAGTATCAAAGGTGGTGGAGAGAACGTATTTCCCGTTCTTGTTCTGGGTTTGGGGCTATAAGGGAAAGGAATATAAGTCATTGAACTTCACTTTGTCTGCCAGCACTATAAACATGGCAATATGGTTGGGTCAAAAATGAAAAAGAAATTATGGGTAATGGAGTGAGACCGGTTTTCTTTTATGGCTCATTACACAAGCTCTGACCTGTTTCCAAATACAAGTTACAGAAACATTTTAAGAAATAAAAACATCATCATCGTCATCATAAAAATCCACTACATTGATCGTTTTGAGGCAGGCAAGAGTTTATATAAATAGGCTAGCTGAAAATTAGCCCCATTGCAATGAGTGTTTCAGAATTTAGGACAAGAATCAACTGGCTCCTTTGTGCTTGGATCAGCAAGTGGATTAAATCCCACAATGAAAATCATAAAATTCAGTTTCCTGCATGCTAGATGTCCCTAGATCTATGTAATATCTGCCTCTGACTCAGCCAGAGAAGAAAAGCTTTTTGTACCAAAGCGAGAGGTAGCCTAGCCATTATTGAAGGACTCTGTGTCATGTATTTGGATTCTTTTATCTGAAGAGGGATGTGACTGCCTGAGGAATGTCCAGAGGAAAACCACACACATTCTTGAGCCATTTAGTGCCATCATAGACTGTAAGGTGCAGTTTGCAAAAATCTCCAAGGCACCTTGCAGAAGAACCTGCCTGTGGCCTCTCCTCATGGCCTAACGTTTGGACAAGAGAGGACAAGGAAGCCAGTGAAAGAGGCAGTACATCTCCGTGATCGGGTTTTGAGGGGAGACTCGGATAGCACAGGTAGTGCACACCTCCTACATCGGAGACTGTCCACCCTCAGGGCACAGTGGGCTCTCCTGGGGACACTTCCGAAAAATACTAATTCCTGGGTTGGTTCTAAAGAACAGACAGCTGGGAAGCACTGCACTCTAGTTTTGGGTCAGGAGTGGCTAACAGGCTTTTTTGTATTGACTTTAAGTCTGTGAAGATTAGTCATGCCAGGGGTAGTGGGCTCTGCCTCGGGGCTGATGACAGACAGGTTCGGGGGCCAGGCTGAGGGATGGAAGCTTCGGGCTGGACAGGAGAGGCATTTCTTATAGGTGAGGGCTGTGTAATTCTGAGCTGACTTCTCCCAGGAAGTCACAGAACTGTGGTCTCAAACCACCAGGGGTCTAGGTTTACCACCTCCAAGGGACAGCACAAGTGAAGGGGCAAGAAATCAAGGCGGTGCACTGAGGCGCATTCTGTGACTCACTGGAGACTCGGGACCATTCTGCACTCATCTTGATGGTCCCAGCTGCCCCTTGTCTCAGCACTAAAATGGTCCGTGTCTGGGGGGCTCTGTAAACAGGAAGATATGTTTCTGTGTCCTGAACAGTTAAAGGTTCCTTGTACTGGGACTTCCCCCCAACGGGCCTTATCGAGCCCTTGCCTTTGGTGACTTTGGAGCAGTTCTCCGCCGCCGTCAGGTGGAGATGAGATGTGGCTTTGTCCCTGGACTCCAGAGACACCCCGAGAGTGTTTTCATCTGTTCAGATAGTCCCAGGGCATCTATTGCTCCCTCACCCTTGATCTGTAGAGCCAGCGTAGAGTGCACTTGGGTGCTCCAAAGAGTGACCTCCACTCTAGAATTTCTCAAGGTACATTCTTAACATTTTTGGAGCCCTCTGCAACTCGGCAACACATTATGAAATGCCTGTTACCTGTATGAGGCACAAGAGTGGGACGCAAAAACAGGGAAGTTTAAGAGCCACCCTTCCCTTGATGTGGTTTCACTTTACTTAGGAAGATAAGGCCAGTATCTGTTTATATTTGAACATGTAGCCAGGAAGGGCAGCAGCAGGTGAGCTGCGTGGACAGGTGAGCTTCGTGGACTGGGGCATCTCTCCATGGGTGCGGTGGTGGGGAGGCCTCCACCAGGAGAGATCTGGCCTGGCCCCTGAGGAGTGGGGGCGGCTTCAGACCAGTGGTCTCAACCCTGGCAAAACAATTGGTTCACTTTGGGAGGGTGAAAGTCATAAGCTGGGGCATGCCCCCACCTCCCTACACCCTGGTCCCCTAGGTCCGGGTAGGGCCTAGGTCTGTGTAGTTTAAATTCCTTATCAGGTGATTCTGATGTGCCGCCAGGCTTGGCAACCACTCATTGAGAACGTGTGAACTATAGTGGACACACAGTTTCCTTTTCTGGTGGCCACCACCAAAATCCTGATGGGGGAGATCTGAACAAGGTGTCAGTCAGTTTGAGAGCGAGCCTCTGGAGGTGCTGCAGCTGCTTGTGGGGCAGCGGGACACGCAATCATGATTATGCCCATGTGTTCAGGTCCTAATGTTTGTTAGCAAGTGCTTCATGCACATGATTTCTAGTTTTCACAGCAGCCCCTAAAAATAGATTTATTATTTATGTTTTACAGTTGAGGACATTGGGGCTGGGAGCTTTAGTAGCTTGCTGATGGTCACCGGACTTTAAGTGGTATAACTGGGATTCCGATACAGAAACATACTTTCCCCTGTCATATTCCATTGTTTCCCATGCTGTCCATGTGGGAATTACTGGTGGCCCAGTGGGAGAAGAGCCAGGGGACCTTTTAGGGGCAGGTGGCAGTGCTGGGAGTGGGGGAGTCTGGCTCGCTCATAACCTGGAGCTCTGCACAGTGACACGGGGCGGCTGTGGACGAAAGGGAGAGCACATCAGCTGTGCAGTGACACAGAGAGGGGTTCGTCCTGACCAATCTCTCTGAGCTGCATCTTTGAAGTGGGCTAAAGCCTCCCTTGCAGGGCTGTTAGGATGAAGAGAAATGGTATTGGCTGTAATTATTTTACTTGGCCCCACTCTGTGCCTCACTATGCCCATTACAGCTTTATTTCCTGGTGTCTCTTCCATCCTTCCCTTCATTTCCCTTCTCAGGTCCTTATTACCTAGTCTGGGTCACAGCAGTAGCCTTTTAGGTTTTTTTGTTGTGTCCACTCTATACTATACATGACCTTATTTTGAAACTTTCATTCAGCTTTGTGTTCCAGAATCTTCAACAGGTCCCCAGTACACCCCAATTAAGTACAAACTGCTCTGGCCGCATTCAGAACCCTCTCAAATATTCTTCAGCCTTTCACTCTTTCTAATTTTAACTCTCATTACTTGCCCCTGAAACCCAGAAATCAATCAGCAGGCTCTTGGCCACTTCCATTATGAATCAATACCAGGGATACTCTTTTGTGGCTTTGAAGAACTTTTCTGTCCACCCTTCAACATCCTGCCGGTTGCCCACCCTCAGAGCCCCCAGGGCATTTCTTACTAACTTTTCTGTGAAGTCCCATTCCACCCCTTTGTAAACTTGACTCAGTAGACTGTACCCCGGTGAGGTCAGAATCCCGCTGCCTTCGCTTCTGTGTCACTGGCCCATACTAAGTATTCAAACATGCTTGTTGAAACCAAAGGACTAACTCACAATCTCCCTCTGCTTTCCAGGCTGAACGGAAAAGCCCTTGGAGCGCCTGTAATAGGACTTTGTGTGGAAAGTGTAAACTGTGGATGGCCATCGCCTTTATTTTCGTAGGTTTCATTGTAGTGATCATCATAAGCTTATGTCTTATTGGAGGTAAGAGGATTTACACATGACATTTTAAGAAAACTTGTTTAATGCTTATGACTTACACTGAAATGGTATATGTACTCATTACTATTTCATTATTTATAATTTGAATTTAAAACTGGTGTGGAATGTGTTATACGGGTGGGAGAAATACATGATTCTTGTTTTGTTGTTTGTTTATAAGCTCCGGAAGTAGTATGGAAACCACTGTTTTACTTTAAACTCTGCCCATTGGATCTTGAAGATTTCTTACATTTTTAACTTACTTAAGCACTGATTGAGATATTTTTGTATCTCTAAACCTGTTTGTTGACTTTTTTCTTATAGTTTGTTTAGTAAAAATAATTATTGTACTTCACCTTATATAGCTGGTATATGCTTATCATGATAAAATAATGAATAGTGCATTTGAGAGTTTTAAAAACTTGAACCATGTACCTGTAAGCTGTCATTATTTGAGCTTATTTTGGACATAACAATATTGTATTTATGTTGTATGTATGTACAAAACGAAAACATGATGCTAACTGTATGTTTTACCTAATTATCTCATTTTAAAATTATTTATCATGAATATAAAAAATAATGTGAGATCAGATTTTTATTTGTAGTCTTGTGGCCTACTCTTTAGGATTCTAATGTATTTTGAGATCATTTTTCCAATTTATTATAAAATTATTTATGAACATTTAAAAAACTTTTAAATTGAGGTATAATTGACATATCTATTAGTTTCAGGTGTACAACATCATGATTCAATATTTATATACATTATGAAATGATTACCACAATAAGTTTAGAAGCCTCTTTTTTTAAATGACTGCATCGGGTAGTCTTCCACACCATTTTAAAGTCTTGTAGGTAGTTTCCAATTTTTTATGATTATCAGTATTAAGATTTTTATGATGCATAAAAATAGCACCCTCTGGTGGGCAAACATTTCAATTCAAAACAGGAGAGAAGAAAACTGTTTTTAGTTGTATGTGGGAGTGATTGTAGGGTGAGGGAACTCTCTGGAGCTGGGGTACTCTTTTTTTGTTTATTTATTTATTTATTTAAATTTATTTATTTTGGAAGGGAGGAAGAAAGACAGAAACTAATATGAGAGACATCAAATGGTTGTCTCTTGCTGAATCCCCGACCAGGGCCCTGGATTAAGCTGGCGAGCTGGGATACTCTTGAGGGTAATTCAGTCCCATGAGGATTTGGGTTGAGTCAGGCTCTCCAGAGCAAACCGAGTCAGAGAATGAGCACAAGAAAGGAAACCCCTGGGTCTCTCTGGAGGGTGTCCTGGGAATTCTCCTCAGGAACTGCATTTGCCATTCACCTCCAGCTCTTCCCCCTCCCAATCCTTTCAGGTCCTTTCCCAAACTGGTATGGCCCCTGAAGGAATAGGAAAACATCGATAGCATGTGCCAACTTCACATTGACAACAGTGTCAACGTGAGGCACTGCGTTTACTTACTTAGGACATTCTTGAGATGGGACAGATCATTCTTTGAGGCAATAGGCTGGTTTTGAGGTGGGGAGAAGTTAATAAGAGGTGTTACACCTCTTCCATCATGCTAAGGACAATTGTTTTTGTGTGAGCATTGATACTCCCTCTTCCCATCAACTCCCACGTGTGGATGTGGAAACTATAGTTGAGTCACACAGCCTGGTCCTATCACAATTAGCTGATGCCATCCTAAAAGTCGACAGATTTGTCTGTTGGCATCTGGGGCCCAAAACAAAGGATGATGCAACCGGGGTAGATGTTTAACATCCGGGATTCTAAAGTGCAAGACTCAAGAGCTGTCTTCCATCCCCAAAAGTTATCTGGTCCCTTCAGCCCATAAAGAGCAATCTGCAGAGGAAGGGGTTCTATTTCCCTCATCAGCTTCTCAGGGGACAGCCAAGTTCATAGGATGGTATTCAGGAAAGAACTTTTTAACACTGTAGTGCAAACTTCATTTCCCATTTTAGAAAATTGTATTCTTAAAATGTTAATGCTGTAAGAGATTTTCAAGCTTTTACTATTTTTTTTGTTAAATCAGAGAAATACTTTTATTTTACTTGGCACGTCAGGGGGTTGGGCCTGTGGGAGATAGACAGCGGAGTTGCAATAAGTGCAAAGGGGTGGGACAGGGCTCCCCTTTGTGAGTCTCAGCCTCACCCTCAGCAGCTCTGCGGGCACTCTGGGATGACAATCTGCAAAGATCAGCCATTGCCTAACTGCCAAGCCCATTGATAGGAATCAAATACTTGTAGAATTTCTGAGCCCTCTGTGGAAGATGCTGCTGTCCGGGGAAATGGCATTGTCTAGAGCAGCCGTGGGCAAACTACGGCCCGCGCGGCCCGGATCCGCCCATTTGAAATGAATAAAACTAAAGAAAAAAAAAAAGACCGTACCCTTTTATGTAATGATGTTTACTTTGAATTTATATTAGTTCACACAAACACTCCATCCATGCTTTTGTTCCAGCCCTCCGGTCCAATTTAAGAACCCATTGTGGCCCTCGAATCAAAGAGTTTGCCCACCCCTGGTCTAGAGGGTCAAGGGCTGTACCTGTGCCATCCAAGTTCACTAGGAAGTGAGGTTCATCGGGAACTACATTTGCTATTCTCCTCTCTCTTCCCTTCCTCTCAACTCCGGAATCTCATGTCTTAGGGCTCTGTAGTTCTCAGAGTGAGGCTCTGTGGCAGAGGTGTTAGTAACTATGGAGTTGGAGTGGACACAGCAAAGGGTGACTAGTTGGGGGAAGAGACAATGGAGTACCGAGGTTGAGGCACTGGGTAGGGAGGTGGATCTTGTTACTGACATTGTTAAGAATCCCAGCAGAGCAACCTATGGTCGTTTTATTATTGATTCTCTGAAAATTGTGCACCCTTTATTGTCTGCACCTGGGGTGGGCTCTCCTGCCACTCTACCTGTGGCATGCCATTGAAGTAATTGTAAATTCAGGGTCATGGTTCAGCTAAGACACTGAGCTGGGGCTGCGTGCACACTGCAAAAAGAGAAGACAGCACTCTCACAGGCTCACTGTAGACAATGAGATCATTTTAAATGAAAAGTGTTATGAACAGGGCCCAGGGAATCCTATTGAATTCACAGGTCTTTAGGAAAAAGGTTAGTAATGGATTCTCTCCTCCCTAAGGAATGAGCAATTCCTTGGTGTGAAGAGTAAAGGGGAAAAAAAAAACCTTCCCTGCTCTCAAAGACATCTTTTTGGATAATTTGGAGAATCAGTTAAGCATTCTCAAGGGTTCTACTTTCTCTGCTAATTTGCCACAACCAGGGAGAAGAGAGATGGGAGTAACACCTTTCTAATGAAACTTTTCTTGGTTTGGGAAAAATATTTAAAATGTTATGAAAACCAAACTGTGACAAATAAATGGATGCTTAGAAATATGATTTAAAGGTGATTAGATTTAATACTCTAGGGATCCTTATGTGATACCCCACAGCATTATGGATTTCTATCTGACCCCTGTGCTCTCTAACATCCAGGTTTCAGTGAGTAGGGACGCTATGGTACCAACATATAAGCGGGGACTTTCCAAGTGATGCTGTATTGAGTGGGTTTATTTTACCTGTGAGTTGGGAAAAAGAGCTCCATTTTATGATATTACAAGGTCTTGACAATGCTCCCTGGTGTTGGATGAGTCATGGGAAAATCCCAGGAGACAGCATTAGGAAACTCCAAGTACCAAGGCCCTTGGGGGTAGGAACATAATAGCAGGCCTAGTACTTTGAAATTTCTTGGCAATTTTCACCTGTTCCTCTTTCCTTCAAGTTGCATATATTTATCCACCTTCCCAAGACTGACCCCTTCACCTGTGTTCTCCATAGAATCCTTGCCAGTTGGTTCTGACCTGTGGACCTTCAGAATGATCCATTTCTCTCTAAGCTTCCTCAGGCTCTTCTCAACTTGGGCCTCTTCCAATGTGCTAGCACCATCTCTCCTTCAAAGTAATCTTCCACTAGAATCTTGTCACTTCACTTGGGTGTTTTTTCTCTTTCTATTCTTTCATTGGCAAACTTCTAGAAAGAGTGGTCTACATTCAGATTTGTCTCCTGTGTATCCCTAAACCACTTGTATCCTTTGGCTCCAAATTGTTCTTCCCAAGGTCACCACAATTGTTTGATCATGAAACCCAATGAATGGCCTGCCTCCCATCCCCTGACCTATTTTCAGCCTTCAGCTCTGTTAGCTGTGTTGTACTCTTCTGGGTCTACAGAACTCTTGGATTTTAGGTCTCCTGCTCTTCCTGCCTTTGGCCTTCACATGTGGTGCCTGAAGCTTGTTTTCAGCTGTCTTACTTTTCACATTCTTTATTCTTTCCCTTGAGGAGCCCACCATGCATTTGCCTAAATTTAGGCCAATTCTTCAACACACTAGGCCTGTTTCCACACGGGTAAAATATAAGTGATTCTGAATCTGAGTCTGCAAATGTACTCAACCCTACTTTTTACTAGCTCAGTTGACTGAACAAATTATGCTTTTTCTCTAAGCCTCAATGTTTTTATTTTAATTTTTTTTTATTAATCCTCACCCTAGGATATTTTTCCCATTGAATTTTAGAGAGAGTGGAAGTGAGGGAGGGAGAGAGAGAGAGAGAGAGAGAGAGAGAGAGAGAGAGAGACATTGATCATTGATACGGAGAGACACATGGATTGGTTGTCTCCCTCAAATGCCCCAATTGTCATTAACCTGCAACCCAGGTACATGCTCTTGATCTGGAATCACACCCATGACCCTTTTGGTGCACAGACAGACACTCTATCCACCGAGACACACCAACCAGGGCTCAATGTCTTTATTTTAAAATGAAAACATTAATGTTTAACTCATAGGGTGATTTGAGAATTGCATAAGGAAATATCTACAAGTATTATCCATGTGTCTGTACATAATGCTGTACATAGTAGCCATTAGTCTTACTGTTACTTGATATTTTGGAACATTTTTTATTTCTTCTTCTCTTCCATATCTAGGTAATGACCAAGTTTTGTCAGTCATTCCTTAGTTGTATCTTGATAGCAACTTCCATCATTAACTACCCAGTTACTACAAGGCACCATGCTTCATACTTTATGAGTGTTGGTTTACATCTTTAACATCACCTACAATGTATATGTTGATATTTCTGTTGCAGAAACAGCTTCAGAGTTCATTTAAGTGACTTGCTTAGATCACATGGCTAATGAATAGCTGAGCTGGGATTCAAACTAAATCTGGTTACCTTTAAAGTCAGCTCTATTTCCACTATCCTGGGTTTTCTCTTTCCTTTCTTCCCTCCTTCCTTTTCCCCTTCCTTCCTTGTACTTCCCACTGCTGTCAATCAAAATCTCTCTCTCCCAATCTACTGGCCTCTCTGCCTCCATTCTCTCTTGGTTCCCTTTCATCTGATCCATCATCATGCGATTTACCTCCACCTCCTTCCTAGGAGACATTTAACAAGCTCCATTACCTCCTGCAGACACCTCTCTGCTGCCTCATTGCTAATATTCCAACCAAAGAGCTGGTTTTGTGTACCTGCAATTGTACTTTATATGTTTTAAGCTTTAAAACAAAACAAAACAAACAAAAAACCCTCATAGTTTTCTCTACATGGAAAGTGCTGCCCAGATGAAGTCTCATTAATAATGTACAAGCTTTGCTGACTGGGTAAAACCATTGCTATTGTTATGTTAACAAACATCTATTTATCCAGGTCTTGGGACAGATTCATTATTCGATGATACAAGTTAAATATAGGTCATTAGAACTATTATTATTGGAAATGTCTTTCCAAATGGCATCTCTTCTCAGGGCCCTTGAGTTCAACAGTTATGTGAATTCTGTATCCACCCCCTGGCACCCTTTTCCTTTCCCAGGCACTGATATCTACTTTGGAAATGTGCACGGTGGGTGTAGAGCTCAAAGATATCCACTGCAGCATTATTTATAGCAGTGGAAATCTGAAAACACTAAAAGATGTAAGAAAATGAGCAAGCCAGTTATGAACATTATGCAGCTATTAAAATAATCTTTGCAAAGAATTTCAAACACATGGGGAATGGCTTTCGATATGTTAACAGCAACAACAACAAAAGAATGAAGACAAATAACCAATGGCAGTAGCAAAAACATAAGCAGGCTACAAGTGACCTTTTCACTAAGATCCCAACATATAATATAAAATAAGGGGAAAACCCCTTTTTATTACAGAATTTATCAATATCTTGATTTGCTACAGATTCCTGTACGTTGCAAGTTTTCTGCTATTGTGAGACAAAATAATGTAATGAGCGACTTACAACAAATAAAGATGCATGGGTAATTTCCTGTGTTTGGGGTCCCCAAGATCTACCACTAGATTCAGTGAGTGCTGGGAGGACTCACAGACTCAGCATGTAGTTGTGGAGATGACTATGATTTATTACAGCAAAAGGATATAAAGTAAAGTGCAGGAGAAGCAAGTGTCCAAGAGTCCTCTCCTGGTGCAGTCCCATAGGACACACTTCATTCTTCTAACAGTGAGTTGTGTCAACAAGCTGTGAAATCTTTCCACTAGGGAAGTTCATTTGAGACTCAGTGCCCAGGGTTTTATTGGGGTTGGTCACATAGGCAGCCTCTGTCTGGCCCTATTAACATTCCAGACTCTCCAAAGGAAAGATATTCATGGTAAGCCGCGTTGTTTGTACAAAGAGTTGAGGCACAGTGAGCCACACTTATCAGCGAATGGTGGGAACTCTCTGAAACCTAAGTTCCCAGAGGCCAGCACACCAGACTTGAGTAGCTGGGCCTTTCTAAGCTGGCAGTCTCAGCTGCTCTGTCAGCTCTTCTCTGCACATTCCCTTGCTCCTCATGTCTCACCTTACCAGACTGTCTCAGGGAGTAAGTCCCAGAATTCTTCCTTCTTTTCATGCACCCTCCCATCAGAAATACTGAATTGGTTCCACTGGGGTCTTTCCAAAGTCCAGTTACAGAGGCTGATTATGTTATTTTTAAAGCTTGGAAATTGAGAAAAAAGTCTACGGAAAGTTCCACCCACCTACACCTTTCTCAGGGTCAGAGAGGTGGTCTGTGCGTGGGCTCAGATGGTGAGGCTGAGGCAGAATTAGGAGCATAATTAGTACCGTGAGTCCTACTTCTAGGTCCTGGCTCCTCACTTTGTGTGTTTTTCCTCTAGCTCTGACTGCATAAAAATCAGTTAGCTCAGTCATTAGAGCACAAGCAGCCACACAGAACTCATTGTCCTGTACACCCCGGGGCTCTGAGTGCAGTTTGGTTTTCCTTTTGCAAACAGAGTGTGTCAACATTCCTATCCTGTGAGACGTGTTCACGGGTGATGACTTCATGCCCATGTCTCCCTGGGAGATTTCAAGACATGGGCTCACATGCTCATATTCGAGTCCCGCTCTGTTCTGGTGCATGATGATTCCTTTGGCCACTCTCTGTCCCCATCACCCATTGTTCGTCCCCCTGTCCTGACTGTCCCCCGGCATCTGCCTTGACACCTGTGTACATAGCTAAGTTGCAGGTTCAGTTTAACAAAAGAAATTCACGTTCTTCCCACTCCATCTCGCTGGCCCTTTGGCCCTTCCTTCAGTCTGTATTCAATGGAAGCTGAGATCCCTATGGCATAAAACAAACAAATAACATGTTTATCATTATTCGGTTTTACCAAGAGGGGAAAGCATTTCTGTTCATACTTGCTTACTTTTCCCAGGCTTTATCCTTGATGAGTGCTCATTGTTTCATTTTGTTTGTCTTGAAAGTGTAGCAGCCAATGAATAAGTTTATTACTTTATGCATATGTGATTTTTACCTTTTATTTCCATCTTCCACTCTTTTTAGTAACTTACATCGATGAAGATGAAAATGAAATACTTGAGTTATCATCAAATAAAACATTCTTGGTCATGCTAAAGATTCCAGAGGAGTGTGTTACTGAAAAGGAATTGCCTCACCTGCTCACGAAAAGGGTAATGGGACTTTATGCATTGTTTACTGAGTTCAAACAATTAGAATGTGGATTCTGCTACAACAGTAGCCATAGAGCCACAGAGTAAGTAGCTTCAAGCTTGGATATTTTTGGTCTGAATTTTGGTAGAAACAGACACTTGTAAATGGACTTTCTGTAGTGCAAAACCAGAGGGAAGAACCTTGGCCTCCAGCTAGAGGGAGGATAAAGCTTTGTTTTTTTTCACTCTGCTCTTATATTTGATTTAATTGTATTTTATTGAGGGTCTGTGATCTGCTAGACCATATGCCAAGTGCCAGGGCTACAACCTGTGTGCTGTTAGTGGGGGCTCACAGCCCAAGTAGAGGAAGCAACTAAATAGATATTGCAAAAACGGTTGAGATGCATATAGGATGTTTTACGACCACAAAGTCGCGGGCGGGGGGAGGGGGGGGGACATCTAGACTACTGAGGTGGAGATGGAGACTTGGGAGGCCTCCTGAAGGAGGAGATTCTTGGGATGAGGGTCTGCACAGCAGTGTACTGTGGCCTCCACATGCTGTGGTGAGGACTTGCAGAGGTGAAGCTTAACAGGAGGGCAGTTTTCCTACTCTTGGGTAAAGCACTAAAAGATTTAAATCTGCAGGTTGACAGGGTAACTTTCATTTTCACCTTTCTGTGTAATGGTGAAAAAACACTGCAGTGGAGTACAGTGAGAAGCATTGCGGTAGGCCAGATGAGACAGGGAGCCTTGAACTAGGTGATGTCAGGGGGAAGAAGGAAGATTTAAGTGAGATTTAAGAGGTCTTCTCATTCAATAAGGCTTAATGGCGGGTTGGGTGTGGGAGTGAGGGAGAGTGTGAATGTGGCCCTGTGGGTGACTGTGGCATGATTTATGGAGTGGGAAGTTGAGGAGAATGAGCCCTCTGTGAAATACGGGTGCTCTGCAGCCAGACCAGGAGGGTTGGTTGGGACAATCCTGGTCATCCTGTCAAAGACAGGGTGGTTCACAGCGGGACCCAAAAGTTTTGATAGGAAAATCCAAGCAAGGCCAGCCTGCTGTCCCTTACACTCTTCTTTGCAGCGGTAGGTCGAATGCGGCTTCTACCACAGCTCCTACAGGAGGTGCTTCCACCTCAGTCACCCTGGAGTCAGCTCTGAGCCCCCAGGGGATAACCTCGATTGCTCCTTTGATCACAGGAGTTTGTGCTCTGGGAAGATGATCTTGGGTTTCCCTTCCTCCTTCTTTTCCTTGCTTATATCTCCTCTGCGGTGCCCATTTCCTCCCGTCCTTCCAGCTGCCTCCGGAGCAAGCTGCAGACTGAAGAGCCTCTTGCTGCTTTCCTCGTGGTTGCTTTTTAAATTGAGGGTTTGCATTTGATGAGCAAAAATGAAATGAATCAGCAACCACACATGTCACCTATTACAGGCTGCACTCTCTATGTCAAAGGGAAATGGACATAGTTAATCATTCACTTGAGACCCATATCTGTCACTCTGTGGGTGTTTTCAGCTGATCACTGTGTCGTGGCAAAGGAACTGAGGGTGCTTTCTGAGCCAAGGTCACAGGCCTCTGAGCCGGGTTCTTCTCTAGTCAATGAGAATCACTGAGTTCTCCCTGTATACCCACAGGTGCATATGAGATGCATAGAAAGAAAGAACCTCGTAAAATATTTTTAAAAAATTGTCTGACTTGCAGATGATAAAAAGTGCAGTGAAGTGAAAAGATTCCCCCCCCGCCCCCCAATATGGTTTTCCAATCAAATATGTTCAGGATTAAAAATGAGGAACTTGGAGATATCACTTTTATTGTCAGGTCGAGAATCTCCCTTTCTCCCATTAGGCCAGCTTCCAAAGTTTCTGGAGAAGGAAGGTCAGTGGGCGTGTATATCGGAATGCTATGTCCTCTCCTTTGCTTTATTGTCTTGCATTTGTGAACACAGCTGTCCTAGACCCTCTCATATCTCACCTCCTGAGTGCTGTCTTAGGGTTGGGGCCATTTCTCTGCTAAAGTCAGCCCATTAGCTATGTGCATGTGCTGGATGCAGGAGTTAGCATGGCACCTATGATAATATAGGAGAAGGAATTTCTCTTGTTCTGGAAGCTGTTTTCTATTTAGCCACTAAAGCCTGACTCTGATAATCAGCTCACTAGGCTCCTAGCTCAGTCTGCACCCAGCCTCATAGGCCAAGTATGGGAGGCACCAGAACTAGGGGTGAGGAGCAGCCCCCCATTTTTCTGGGGGTGGGGGTTTAGCCTAAAGTAGATAGTGTGGTTAACAGCTCCCAAATATATAAATATGTCCTAATTATAGCAGGGGACTATACCACCTAAAAGAACCTTCCAGTGGACACTAAGAGTGATCTAGTGTACCACTCCATCTCTTAAAATTTTAACTTGAATTTTTTCTGAAAGCCTCCTATGTACAAAACACAGTGGGTGGGGAGTGAGGGCGGAGGGTGGGGCGGGAACTGGGAGGAGGGGAGTTATGAGGGGAAAAAAGAGGAACAAATGTAATAATCTGAACAATAAAGATTTTATTTAAAAAAATAAATAAGTACATAAAAAAGGAAAAATAAAAGATATTATGAAAAACAAAAAAAACAAAAACAAACAAACAAAAAACACTTTGAAATTCTACTATAACATTAAATTCACATCAAATCTGAGTATAGGGACAGCCTATATGCTCCAGAACCAATGCAGTATTTTCAAAGTATAAAGATACAAGCTTATCACCCTGGCCCTTGTGGCTCAGTTGGTTGGGTATCATCCCGTGTAAGGGTTCCAGGCTCCATTCCCAGTAGGGGGCATGCAGAAGGCAGCTAATGGATGATGCTTCTCTCTCATCGATGTTTCTCTCAGTCACTATCCCTTCCTGTC